GTACAATATGACCAAGTGGAATTTATCCAACAAATTCAGCATTCACTTAACAGTTGAAAACCATGCAATATATTTTTAATCTTCATACATTAACAGAATTCAATATTTTAAAAATAAGAAAAATAAAGTTGATAATATAATTCTGAGCCCTGTCCCACTGATATTAAGAGCAAAGCAAGGATGTTTACTCTAATTCTTTTCAAAACTAAGTCTGAAGCTCATTCTGTGGAGTAAGTCAAGAAATTAATATAATTATAGAAATGGGAAAGAAAGAAGCAAAAGTGCTTTTATTTTTATATATTAGGATTGCATTTGTAGGAAATCTTGAGAAATATGCTAGAGACACTCATGGAATCTAGTATAGTCACAGAATGAATGGGGAAGTATTGCAGATATTAAGTGTATTTTACACTAAAAATTGGATGTGAAATTTGAAAACTCCACTTAAAGTAGCATCAAAAGAAACATTTTTATGGAAAAAATAACTAAAATGAGTAAAGTCTTCACACTGAAAAACAGACAACATAAAAGAAAAGTTTAAAAGCAAGTTTATCATTTTTGTTAAGTCTTAACATTTTCTTCAATATTTTGAAATGTCAATTTTCCTTTATTCATCTATGCAATTAAAGAAATCTCAAATGAAATCCCATTAGATGCTATTTTTGTAGAAACTTAATGGATCCTTAAATTTATATGGAAAAAATGTATAATAAACAAACTCTTGGGACATGGCAATACCTTCTTTCAGCATTAAAAGGACATGCATCATACTCTTCTGACTTTCTTTTTCACAAACATGTTCTGTTAGTCACTTTCCATTAGTATAATAAAATGCCTGAGATAATTGACTTATAAATAGAGAAACTTTATTTTGGCTCACAGTTTCAGAGGTTTTAGTTCATGAATGATTAGCCCATTGGTTTTGGTACTGTAGTGAAGCAACAAATCATGACTGAGCACATGGTAGACCAAATTTGCTCACCTTATGGCTGGGAAGCCAAAGAGAAGAGACTGGAGTCCTGCAATACATATCAAGGGAATGCCTCCAATCACTTACCCTATTGTCACTATGCTCACTTGTTAAAGAATCCACACCTCCAAATTGAACCTCACTGAGAACTAAACTTCAACAACCATAGGGTTTTTGGAATACATCGCAGGTATTAATAGATAATGATGTCTTCACAAAGGTCATCATTGGGGAAATGGATGAAGAGTCTTTTTAACAAATAGTGCTAGGGGACATTAAATCAATAAAGGAATAAAAATATCTTCATTGATTACTTCACTTAACTCTGAACCTATAGCTTTTCAAGAAGAAAACATGGAACTTTTTATGATTTTGAAGTCTAAAATGGAAAAAATTGAAGAATTAGGCTAAACAGCAACTGATATTCTAGTAAGTTGCTGATGGTCATCTAAAAATGATACAGCTTTGAAAAGCAGTTGAGTTTTTGCTTATGAGTAAAACACAAATTTTAGCAGTTTACACTTGAATATTTACCCACAGAAAGTAAAAACAGGTCCATGGAAATAGTCACACATGCACCTTTAAGCAGTTCTTTTCAAGCTAACAACTGGAAATAATGCTAGTGCTTCAACAGATTTGTGTGTGTGCACACTGTGGAATAACCAAACAACAGAATCAATGCAATATTCTTCTAGAAATTAAGCAATGAATTACCAATTCTCACAACATCTTAGATGGATCACAAAACACTCAGAGTGAAAATGCCAAACAGAAATGATGATTTCATTTTGTACAAAATTCTTCAAAGCCTAAGTTGTAATGACAGAAAGTACACTGATAATTTGCTGGAGCCAGATGTGCAGGGGCATTGACTGTAAATAGGCATGAATGTACTTTCTGTGTGATGTGTTTTTTTAATTTTTAAAATTTTTAATTGATAGTGAGTTTATGGAGAAATGTGATGTGTCAATACCTATACATAATGTGTGGTGATCAGATCAGTGACCATGATTTGTGTTGGTAGGAACACAGAAAACATTGGTTATGTCTTCCTGAAAATGAGTTGACTTAATTCTGTGAAAATCACTCCTCAGTAAAGATAACTTTAAAAATCTTAATGGAAGGAACTGTTTTATTCATTGTCTTGTTCCCTCTATGACATTAGGCAAGTGACAGTTCAGTAGAATAAGATTCAGGAGACACCACATGTGCCACCCTTTCTTCTACCCTTTCAGCTGGGAGGAGAATGGTAAACTCTGACAAGCAGCCTAGACAATCAGAAGGAAAGGTGCTCATTAGGGATTTGAAAATGTTAAACCATTCAAACCTATAACTTTCATAATGTGACATGAGATTTTAAATTTAATATTTATCTGAAAATAAAACAAATACAGAAAATAGAGAAGATATGTGATAACAGAATGACAAATAGCCCCTATTTTGAACACTGCTATATTGATTGCGTGGAATCTGCTTCACTGTTACAACTTTCTGTTTTAAGGAATATGTGTAAAACTGAATAATGGCAAAATTCATTTTGAACATCATGCTAATTCCTCTGCTTTAAAAGTCATTTACACAGAAACAAAATACCTCATCCATGCTTATTGTTTTCACTCTTTGAAAAACAAATTGTCTTTTTTGTCCCTACTACACTAAAATTCTATTGTTTCTCCAAATGGGGCTATATGTCCTTCAACTGGAGAAACTGAGTTACAGCAATCCATCCATGCATTGCTGTAATTTATGTGAACTGAGAGCTTACTAAGTACTCACTGTGGACTCAAAAGCATACTCTTTGGCTGCACACTAATAAGTGTGTGCACTAATGAGAAAGGCCACACATGTCATGTGATTAGTGCACATATAGTAGCTGTTATGACAGCTCCATATGTCATGAGAGCAGTGAAGAAAGGTCACTATATCCCTACTACAGGGAAGGAATGCAGCACAGAGAATCCTGCCTGGTGGTCACAGTCATGCAATAGAGATTGGAAAGGACATGGGGGCAGAGACACTTTAAACACCAAAAGTATCTCTGCTCAGACCTGTACAGGCAGTCTGTTAGCTCAATATCCTGGAGACTCACTATAGTCTTAGTAAAGATTCTTCCTTTCAAAGTCAATACATTTACTTTAATTTGATAAAATTTAACTCCTTCATAAAAATGCTCACCTATACGGGATCTTAAAAGTCTTTTAAAGTGTCAGAATCTCATGTTTGTATCTTATCTTTAAATGAGAAAGAAAATAAAGCCCATGGAAAATGAAGTCATTGAAATCATTTCTTTTTTTCACATTTTTAAAAGATTTGCATTGATAAAAAAGAGAACAGAAATAAAACTTATTTGAAGCCTTAAAAAATGCAGTTGCATGTGTGCTCTATCCCAGTGTAGCTGGGGAGCTCTCCAGACAGAAACAAGATTAGCTGATGTGCTCTGTGTTCTCATTCTATACCCAACACCTATGATTACTTTTATTTGTTTGGGATTTTTGTGCACTTTCCCCTTAACTTTCAAACAATTTCAAGGTGATTATGTTGTTATATTGTCTAGTGCTATGTATGGAAGAGAAAAGAGATATACATTTTTTTGGGTTTGTAATCTGTACAATGTGTGTCTTTTCAGAAGGCATGACTAATCCATACTGTAAACCTGTGGAATTTATCTACAAAAACAGCAGAAATAAGAGAATGTGATTCATTAACACTTCCTCCACCAAAGAAGTGTGGTCTATACACAAGTATCTGATTTCCTCATATAATAACAGGTGTAAGGAGTGAATAGTGATATTATAATAATCATCAGGATTCAGGGACAAACTGAATAGCTGTCAAGTAGTTTTACCAACTCATTGTGCCTGGGGGCATTTGAGGCTCCTTTACCACACTCTCCTCTCCTTCCTTCCTCTCTGGCTTCCTCACGCATCTGTACTGTCCTGACATCACCAAGTGATGCACTGATCCCCTCTGAACCCTTATGCAGGTCAACTTGGTTTTTGAATGTAAATGAGCCATGAGGTCCATTTCCCCAAGTGCTCTATGCACCTAATGTGAACTGATCTTAAAACCCAACACAAAGTCACTAAAATGGAAGAGCTTCCCATGAACAGAGATTATTCTCACTTCCATACAATGTGTTTCTTTTACTTTTCTTTTTTCTGAAGTAGGGTCTTTTTATGCAACCCAGGCTAGGCTTTACATCTCCATCCTCCTGCCTCAGACACCTCAGAACTGCAATTACAGATTTGGACTACCATTCCCAACTATGCAATGGTCTTCTAATTCAGAAGTGCCACTGGAAGCTATGTTATAATTGTTCCATCTGTAAAAAGAAGGCAGCGCACAGTAAGACATTGAATCCTTACTTGATTTTGCATGAGGATAATCTTTTGAAATAAATATATGTATTTTGTAGCAGGGTCTCACTACACCACGCACACTGACTTCAAACTTGCCAACCACATGTCAGCCTCCCATATAGCTGGATGATAGATGTGTGTCACCACTCCTTGTAAGAATAGACTTTTTAAAGACCCCATTTCTGTTGTATTAACCTTCTGGAAATATGCACCTGAGCCCTTCTCATCTCTCCTTGAGTAAGGCCAGCTGATGTAGATCTTCGGATGGACCTACTGAGATAAAAACACATTTTTAGCTCAAATAAATACCTTTCACTCATCTCTGACATATACTCAACAAAACTGTAGGAAAATAGTGAATCTAAATATAGATTCTGTTTTGAAAGTTGTCAGTAGCTTCTTTATAAAGTTTTTTTAAAGAGTGACTATGAGCAGCCGCGGCAGCCTCCATCGCCAGGAGCTCCATGGGCTTCTCCTGCGAGCCGCCCAGTGTCTGGCCGAGTCCAGAGAGCCGTGGCGGCTTATTTCGGGGAGCCATCGCTGCAGCACGAGGCCGGGTCCCGAGTCGGGGACTGCAGGAAGAGCGACGGCGGCAGAGGCGGGAGCGCCTCCGGATCTGGGACTGGGGAACTGCCTCAGGCTTTATGATGCCAGTATGGACAGAATAACTTATGAAGCTTATCCCCACCCACCACTTCCGAGACATTGAGCGGAAACCAGAATACCTTCAGCCAGAAAAGTTTGTCCCACCTCCCTACCCTGGTCCTGCGGGAACCATGTGGTTTATCCGTGACGGCTATGGCATCGCCTGTGCCATTGTGAACTGGTTTCTGGTCCTCTATGCGGAGTTTGTGGTCCTCTTTGTCATGCTGATTCCATCTCGAGACTACGTGTACAGCATCATCAACAGAACTGTGTTCAACCTGCTGGCCTTCTTGGCCTTGGCTTCCCACTGCTGGGCCATGCTGACGGACCCCGGGGCAGTACCCAAAGGAAATGCCACTAAAGAGTTCATCGAGAGTTTGCAGTTGAAGCCTGGGCAGGTGGTGTACAAGAGTCCCAAATGCTGCAACATCAAGCCTGACCGAGCCCACCACTGCAGTGTTTGTAAGCAGTGCATTCACAAGATGGACCACCATTGTCTCTGGGTCAATAACTGTGTCGGCGAGAACAACCAGAAGTACTTCGTCCTGTTTACAATGTACATAGCCCTCATTTCCTTGCACGCCCTCATCATGGTGGGATTCCACTTCCTGCATTGCTTTGAAGAAGATTGGACAAAATGCAGCTCTTTCTCACCACCTACCACGGTGATCCTCCTCATCTTGCTGTGCTTCGAGGTGCTGCTCTTCCTCATTTTCACGTCAGTGATGTTTGGGACCTAAGTGCACTCCATCTGCACAGATGAAACGGGAATAGAACAATTGAAAAAGGAAGAGAGAAGATGGGCTAAAAAAACAAAGTGGATGAACATGAAAGCCGTTTTTGGCCACCCCTTCTCTCTAGGCTGGGTAAGCCCCTTTGCCACGCCAGTCCAAGGAAAGGCAGACCCGTACCAGTATGTGGTCTGAAGGACCCCTGACCGCATTGCCACTCAGACACAAACCACATCACAGCACTGCCATCCGATCTGTTCTCATGAATGTTTAGAAAGAAAAGCAAAACAACTACTCTTAAAACTTTTTTTATGTCTCAAGTAAAATGGCTGAGCATTGCAGAGGGAAAAAAAAAGCCCCATGTTTTATTTTTTAAAAATCATCCTTTCGATTTTTTGATGAACGAAGCTGCTCTTTTTCCTTTTAAAATCACTTCTCTGGCCTCTTGTTTCCTCTCTGCTCTCTGTCTGGCATGACTAATGTGGAGGATGTCATCTCCAGGCCATGCCTGTTCTACTAATCAAGTGACACATGATGCAGTGCGTGGATGGATCAGCCCAATAGGAAAGCCAGGAGGGCCCTGACCTCCCCATGCCCAGGAGGCAGTGGCGGGGGCCCCATGGGACTTAAGACTTCGCTGAAGATTGATTCTTGCCTGTTGAGCCCCAAGATGGGCAGGATCAGAAGGGCCCTCAGTGCAGCGACCTCATCCCCAAGTGGACACTGTTTGCCTCCTGATTCTTCTCAAAGCCAACTGTCAGCCTTGTACTTAGGGGCTTGGGATGTGTAGAATGATTTGGGAGGGGGTGTTAGGAAAAGATGAAGGGGTCTTATTTGTATTCTAAATCAGAAATTCTATCCTTCTGATTATCTGGAAGACTATGAAGGGTAGATGTTTTTCAGTTCAAAATGCCTTATACAATCAAAAGAAGAAAACTATTATGTGATTTCAGGCAGTTACATTATCCTGCTACACCCACTCTCAGCACCCCACCCCTCCCTTCCATAACAAGATGTCAGCTAAACAGTGCTAATTCTACATGAGACACAGCCAGCCCTAGAGTCAAGCCCTTCCTGTGTAGTACGTCTCTGATGTGGGCTCACTTTCTGATATTTAAAGGCCCATAAAATGCACACATTCCTGTGTCTTAACTGACATTTTGACCTGGGAGACTGTTGTCCTGGCCCAGGGCTGAGGCAACACTTAAAGTCCACAGAGGGTCATCATGTTCACTCCACAGATGTGCCTGGGCCTGTGGCAGAGAGACGGACTAGCTTTTCACTGGGAGGCACCTCCTGTGTGTAATCTCATTTGAAAGAGGTGGTGATAGCTGGAGGAAGGGCTGAAGGTGTGAGGAGATAGGGAGCCCCCTTCAACACAAAACAACCCCTCTGAATCCTGAATCCTGGCTGTCTGTGAATACTTCCACATTGATTTGTTTTTTTTAAGTAATTGCCACAAACCTCCCTTTTTAGCTTTTGCTTGGGGCAGGGGTGGGAAAAAGTTAATGTAGCCATGATAGTTTTCAGAAAAGTGGAACATGCTGTCTTTTCAATTCTGTCAGGGCTTCCACACGGAAACAATGCAATAAAACTTTTCCCAAACCTGAAAGAAAAAAAAGAGTGACTATGAGTTAGGTTCATAATAACACTGATAAGAAAATATTTTTATGGAAATACTCATGCAAAATTTGTTTCAAATAACTACATGTAGGCTAAAATAATTGTAATATCATTTTACATGTTGTATTTATCACATGTAATTAATGTTCATTTGGGGAATATTCATTTGGGAGATCTTGCCTCTTATTTATCATGCTAATCTTTCATCTATTGGTAAATGTTCACTTTATTTGGAAGGACCAAGTCACAAGATACCAAATACCCTAATATAATGTTCCCATGAGACCAAGTAGATGAGGTAGAATTTTAAAAGCTGTCTTAGTTTAGTGCAAATCCTTATCAAGGATAAAATTGACAATAAATGCAAGTTGCAAGCAACACATGTAATTAACATTATGACTTGTTCAATAAAAAGACCTTAGAAAAGACTATGGAAAAGAATAACTGTTATGAGCATATGATTGTCACTCTACAACTTATAAGCACTCAATACTGATTACTGTTTAAAATAAAAAATCATGTAGTATAATGAATAAGAACAAAAGTAAGAGAAAGAAATCAATGTAGTGTGAGTGATTAGGAAAAACTTAAAATAAACATGATTATATCCAGATATGGAAAATCGAGAACTCCAAAGTGAATTATAACAACTAGTAGCTAATGAGCACTTCCTAAGGGCTTTTCATACAATGCTATGGTTTGGATAAGTGGTTCCAAGACATGACACTATTGAGAAGTGTGGAATCTTTAACAGATGTGGCCTCGTGGGAGGCATTCTGTCATTAGGATTGAGACTTTAAAGGAGATTTTAGGACTCCAACCCCTTCCTCTTCTCCTCTTTTGCTTCTGACTGCAAAGTGAGGGCTTCCTCAGCTACACTGCTGCCATGATGTTCTGCTTCAGCACTGGCCTTGAAGCAAGAGGCCAGCCCACCATAGACTGAAACACCAAACTTAATAAGTTGATTACCTCAGAAAGCTGTTACAGTAATAGAAAACTGACTAACTCATATAGAAACTCACTAAGTTGTCATAATAACTATATAAAATAATGATATTTCATTTGTTTTAAATATAAAGAAAATGAGGCAGCAAAGTAGATAAGATTCATTCTTAGGTACTTCATGTCCTTCTATCCCTCCTTCTCCCCCAAAACCTTAGATTTTTGTGACATCTTATGTCATATTTCTCTAGGGAAAGCCCTGGACACTGTAACTGGATATTTTGTTAGTTATATATTTGACTGCTGGAAGCAAGATCTTCTAAAAAGAAAACTGGTGACATAAGGTAATGGATGAAAACTTCCTGTTATAAAATTTCCTCTGTTATATTCAAGGACAAGGGTCTTCATATTTTTATCTTAATTAAATTTAACATTATTGTCATCCACCAGCTTGATATGAAATCCCTGGCTTGCCTCAACAAAGTCTCCTTGGTGGTTGCATTCAAGAAGAATTTAAATAAGGAGCAGATATAAATTTTACCACACATCCAGGGGCAAGGAAACTTAAATTTCTAAACACTTAGTTATTTTGAGGAAAAAACTTTCCCTTTCTTTCCATTTTTCTGCATAGCAATAAAGGACAAGCACCTGAACAAATTATTTGACAGTTTTAAGTTTAAACTGCTGAGGGATGGAGTAAAACTATGATGGAAAAAAGAAAACAAATCAGGCACAACCAAGGTTAAAATAGGAATGATAAAACATGGGGGCAAGTTTTGGTGCTGGGTTGCAAGTTGAAAATACCTCTCTCCTTTTCCATCCTTCCTTCCTTCCTTCCTTCCTTCCTTCTTTCCTTCTTATTTCTCTTCCTTCTTCTCTACAGACAGTACTGACTGCACTTTGGTGGCTAACATTTTTGAAAGGCACTGGGTACACAGTAGACAGAAAACAAATAAGCTCTTTCAGTGAAGTCATTGTCCATTGTAATTGGCAAAAAGAAAGGAAGTAAGCAAGCAAACAAATGTATTAATGCAAAGAAACAGTAATAACTGAGGTTCAAGTGGGTAGATAGGAGGTTCATTAAAGTGAGCAGAAGGGTCTCTGAGGTGCCATTGTTGACAAGCCAGGTAAATTTCCAGTGAAGTAATGTCCAAGGAGAAGACACAATAGGGAGAGTCCTATGCTTGGAAGAAGATGCTGTATGTCAGGAATGTGGATAAAGACCACAACATTTGGAAAATGGTGAAGGGGGGAAATGAAGGATGGAACAGCCTGATGATAGTAAGGTGTTCCCTTCTGCACCTGTTTCATCTGAGCTGCCCACTAAAAACACTCACACAGGTATCAAATATGCTGTGAGAATATCTGTCTCAGGGGGTGGGATCAACTGGTACTCAGGTACTCAATGTGGGGCTTAAATCACAGCATACTCCACCAGCACTTCACTGAGGTGGATGCATTTTGAACAGGTTTTCCAGCTGATCCCTATGCTATTAAAGTTTAGGAAGCATGAATTTAGAGATAAGAGTCAAAATCAGAGAAAGTGCTAAAGTTCTTCCTGGAGAGAATGACTTGGGAAAAAGAGAATTACAGATACTAATTGCCCTGAGGTCAGCATGATGGAGCAGTGGGACTGCACTGTGCTTGATCTTGCAGTACTTAGGCCAGACAGTGTGTCCCTAGCAAGAGCATGGGGGCTGTCTAGAGACTTGCTGTGACCATTACACCTCACAACATGGAAGCTGCAGCATTATTTCATATCTTAGCAACTTTCTTAAAATTAAGTTTTGTCTTTAAAATGTGAATCACTAGATAAAAAAGAACTCCTCAATTTCTGCTACTTATTTATGACAATAATTGTTATTCACTTGCTGGCTTGTGATTCATATCAAACTACATAGGCTATATGGCATAAATTCAGCAACATTTTTACATAAAAATTTTCTATGTGGTTTACTGATTTTATAGGAGGAATGAAAAATAATTAGGCTTTGGATGTCTATATTTTGTACTAAGAACAATAAATTCATGTTATGGAAGAGAAGTTTTGCATTTTGCTAAAATATGTACTCAATATGAATGGAAAATCTCATGTTTATGTACCATATTTCAGAGGATTTGTCTGATGGTCTAAACTCTTCAGCCACAATGATGGAATAAATGATTAAGAACAATCACATGGTAAGTTTTCCCTGATCTAATTACTTATGTCTGTGTGTGATATGATATACATTTATTCATATTTACATATATAAATATGTTATCTTATACATAAATACAAAGACACAAATACATACATAATTACATATAGAAACATTTTAAACATGCAAATGGTTTGCAAATTTTTGCTTGACTGTTGAGCATGAAAAGATAATTTCTCTGTTCCCATACCAAAAAAAAATAGTAGATGAGGGATAAAATCATCTGTTGGAAATAGATAAACGTTAAGTTCATATTCAAGTCACTGTCAGAGCCATCTCTTGTTATAGAATTTATGTAAAAATGTATCATGATTTTAAAAAGTGTTCATGAATCTTAATCACTGAGTGCAGTAACAACTTAATACTTAGTTTATCCTTCATTACAAAGTGATTCAAAGAAATGTGACTTGATTTGGCCTGTGACTCATG